GTAGCTCAAGAATTGGCGGTGGGTGATGACTAGCTGCCTTCCCTCTAGTCTTACACTGCTAAATTAGGGACAGCTAGCGCAGATAGCCCTTGTTCAAAACAAACAAACCTATTTTTTTCCTTTGCACCGAAAGTATGGAAACTTTATTTAATAGAAAAACATATTTAACTTCCATGGATTTTCTTCAAATTTGGAACACTGATAGATCTTTGAAACATACAATTAGGTGTTAAATCTGGTCTAAATATAAACCACATGTATAAAGTTATTCAACAAAAACCGTTCAGTTTTGCCCAAATGTTTGCACACACCTACGCTATTAGTCTAAAATTTTACTACAGCTTCACCTTAGAGTAAAAGTGAACAGTTTTTAGTTTTTTGTCATTCGGATTAAAGATGGCTGATTAGGAGCAGCAAAATTATAGAGTGAAAGTACGTGCAGATACACAAGTATTCGTTAGGCCAAGCAAACTATATTAGCAGTTTCTAGCTCAAGTTTTCAAAAGAATCATACGAGTGAGCCGTCATTATTCATTGCCAAATTTTAAGCACAAATTTGCTAACTTTTATAAAATTCTCCTAATTAAAGAGTGTTTAGTATCACATGATATTAGCTTAAGCTATTAGCATAAATAACGATGTTTGATACGGCTGTACCAAGTGCATGCGGGTGATGACAAGAAACTGTTAATCTAGTTTACATGGCGTTACTGTAAAGGAAGCTATTACATCAGCCACCGAAAGTTATGTTTTCACTCCTGTGCGTCTGTGTTTCTCAGAAGGATTTCTCGAAAACGGCTGAATGGATTTGGAAGAAAGTTGGCATACATTTGGACTATGGTCCAACTTAGAAGTGATTAGATTTTGGACGGTCAAGGTCACAAAAATCCCTATCTGTTAACATGGGGACCAATTTTACACACTATTTTTGCTCTGTAACTCAATCAAAAATAATCGGACTTTGACGAAACTTAGCGGACACATGTATATAATATTACTCCCCATTGTTCTACCAAAATGGTATGTGTCCGTTGATAACGGACACATTTCCGTATATTTTGAGGGCCAAACGTGATCAGTGCTGCGTGAGAGGAGGTGTGCGCTCTACTGAGTGCTTTAGAGAAGAAAAACTACCACCGTATATTTTAAAGAATCTGGTTGATTCTTGTAAAGTATAAGTCTGTTCCGAATAATAGTTGCAGTACTAAAGCTAATGTTGATTACTATCGAGTGTCACTTTCTTACTTGCTGTGGTCATGATATTTAACTTAATGAAAATAACTCTGGTGTGGCCAAAAGAAGGACTGAGCGTGCGATTTAAAGGAATTAAATCAGAATTGGCGGCTAAGCATTGATAAGAATTTTATAGCAAATATTCATGCATAAGTTAGCTAGGTTGCATATTTTGTTTTACCCACCATCATGCCCCAAGTTTAATTATAATAATAAAAAACGCGGCTTGGCTAACTAGTGAATGCATATTTGGTGTAAAATTATCATCAAGTTTGACCGCCAATTTTGATTTCATTTCCTGTTCTTTTGGTTGGTATGAAAATAAAAATAAAATCCGAGCGTCTTGAATTAAGTATAGGCCTGGCATTATACTTAAAATATCAGCTCGGATCAATCTAAACCTTAGGCTAGAAAAATAATGTCTAAGTTTTAATTAAACTGTGAACTTTAGTATTTGAAGTTTCTTTTGAATGAAATCAACTTTGACATTCTTCAAGCAATTAACTGATTAAAATACATAAACAATTTTGTCAGATTTAATCAGATATTTTTTTATCAAAATAACTTCCTCCCAGTGGCTCTGATAGATTTATCGCTAAAAACCAAGTTTCGATACCCGTGATGGGCAGAACACAGATAACCCATTGTGTAGCTTTATGCTTAACAACAAAGAAACCAAAAGAACTAAGACGCAAGTTATGGTGACTAGAATTTTACTTTATATATTTTTTAGGCTTCCAGAATACTGTGTTCCATGAAGTTGAATATTAGAACTGTTTGTTTTGAATTTCGCGCAAAGCTACACGAGGGCTAGCTGCGCTAACCGTCTCTAATTTAGCAGTGAAATACTAGAAGGAAGGCAGCTAGTCATCACCACACACCGCCAACCGTTTTACCAACGAATAGTGGGATTAACCGTCACATTATAATTCCCCACGGCTGAAAGGGGCGAGCATGTTTGGTGGGACGGGGATTCGAACCCGCAATCTTCCACCTGGCCATGCTGGGCCTGTTGTCTGTTCAAAATGTTAGATTTGGTGTACACACAAGCTAAAGTGCGGACAGTGTTTTTACGGCAAAAGAGCAGCTATTCTTGAAACCTTCGAATTGTAGTTCGAACATGTTACAATTACCATAATTTATAAACCCGAATAAGTTAACTAACGTAATTTTCAACAGGTGGCGCTATGTTTTGTTTCGTAAAACTATCGGATTTACTAACTCGTTGAGCTGTTTAAAATCAGAAATGTTCTTGTCTCTATATTATTAATATTTTTAGTTAGTTACTGATCACAAAACTGTTTCCAATTTTCCTTTAAAATTATCTGTTTAATCCAGTCATTGATAACATTTTCATCAAAAGTATCTTTCTACTCAGCCAACCTATTCCGGAAATGTAGTTTTGACAACGTTTGCTTCTGTAAAACTAAAAGATTATTTTAAATAGATATTTAAAGTTAATTTATAGCGCTAGTTTCGTATGTTTTATATGCAAGTCTTGGTTTTATATGCAAGGGGTCGATATTACCTGGTGCTTAACGTGTCCGAACTGAAAATCTAAGCGTTTACGGTTCGCGACCCGTTGCCACAAAAAACACGATCCCCACTTTTCAACCATGGATTACGTTTATTTGTTTGTAATTAAGCACAAAGCTACACAATGGGTTGTCTGTGCTCTGCCCACCAAGGGAACCCAGATTCTAGCGTTTTAAGTTCGTAGACATACCGCTGTACCACTGGGGGTGGGGGCACCATGGATGAGCTAAAGGAATAGCAGTCAAATACAATAATTAAAAAAAAACAAAAGTGGTGGAAACGGTTGCCTTCCCCCTTTAGTTTGACGTTTCAAAATTAGGATGCCTACACACGGATAGCCTTTTGTAGCTTTGTGCAAAATTATGAAATAAACAATAAGTGATCCAACCAAGCATGGCGCAGTAAAAAGCAATATTTTGAGTAATATAAAGTTTAGTAATGTATATTCAATTTTAATGGGATTGTTTATAATTTTATAAATATGTTTGTTTTAAGTTTTCGAGTACACTACGAAAGGGTTTATCTGTTTGTAGCCGTCCGTAATTTTGAAATGATAGATTAAAGAGAAGGCAACTAATCAACATTACCCACGGCTAATTCTTGGACTGCTCTTTTTTTTATGGAATATTTACTGTCACTCTTATGCCGCACCCGTTCCCGCAATGTCCGAAATGCGATTTTCGCTAATGGGTTGCGAACCATGAACTCTATGGTTCACAATCCAAGTGCTCTAAATATGTGTGTCCATATGATATTGATTCTTAAAAGATAAGAACCAGAACTATCAAATATTTTAATTTCTGGACACTTTCGAGAGGTTAAAAACACATAATGGATTGTTTATTTGTTTGTTATGAATTTCGCACAAAGCTACACGTGGGCTGTCTGCGCTATCCGTCCCTAATTTAGCAGCAAAAGACAAGAGGGAAGGCAGCTAGTCAACACCAACCACCGTTAATGTTTTACCACGAATAATGGGATTGACCCTCACTTTATAACGCCCCCACGGTTGAAAGGGCGAGCAATTTGCACGTCGCGGGTTCAAATCTCATCACCAAAGATGCTCTCCCTTTCAGCCGTGGGGGCATTAAAATGTGACGGTCAATCCCACCTTTCGTTGGTAAAAGAGTAGTCCAAGAATTGGTGGTGTGTGGTGATGATTAGCTTCCTTCCCTCTAGTCTATCATTTCTAAATTTAGGAACGACTAGCGAAGATAACACCCCTTTAGCTTTGCGCGAAATTCAACAAACAAACAAACCAGCCATGTGGGCCACGGGTTGGTCTCGTGGTAGAACTCTGAATTTCGTAGCCAATGAAATATCACTCCTCTCATATATATACATATATATATATATACACACACACACACACTTTAAGTTATAGGTGCATTATAAAAGTGACAGTGAATAATAGGTGGTTGGTTCCTGCTGACTGGCTGCCTTCTCTCTGGTCAGTTCAGGGACTGCTTTGCCATAAGTACGAATACTTGATATGTAATTAATTTTTGTTTAGCATTGGGCAATTATATTTTGAATATCGCCTGTCCCAATAAATCTAATTTTTAACTATATAT